AACGCATGGCATGAAAGACGTTTGCCAAGCAAAAATGTAAATATTTATCATACCGGAAACATGCGTTGCTTCTGCTACGTCTACTTCAATTTGTACTTGGTAAGCCGTAGATAGGGGCCCTCCTCCCGTTCTCTCCCATATTTCCTTCTCGCCAAACATGCTCTTAAAATCGCAAAAGAATGTTGCTACGCTTCACTCGCTCTGCTTAGCTCGCACTCTCACACGCCGCCCCCTCGAGCTGGGGGGCTGCAAATGCTGCAGCCAAATGCCGTTTTAAGCTTTTAGTTAATTTAAAAGTTGAAATTTATTTGAAAATCCAAACATTTTGTTACTCGCTGTCCCGCCGACTGGTCGCGCCCGCCCCAACTGCCAACGCGTTGTCATGACTCACACCCAAACAGAATTACGACTAAGTGAAGTAAAAATACGAAAAATGTGAGAAAAAGTAGTCATTAGTAAGCGACTAGCAGATACCCAGTAATGTGAAAAGTTAGCCAACTGCTCAGAAAGTTAGAGAAAGAAGCTGTCATAGAAAAGATAAGCTAAGAAAACTTTTATAGAAAGTTTGGCATGTCGGAATATTGTGTAATTATTGAGTTTTAGTGATCTAAATTCAGGTAGTCGTACTAAGCTTATATCTTTAAGCTATTCAAATATAATATAGAATAGTTCTACAATACCAAGAGATATAAATGCAGTAGATATCTGCTGTATTACTTATATTTATCTCTATTTAGGCATTTATATTGTCAGCTACAAACGAGTTCATCCAAAACAAAAATGATAATTATCTAATTGCAGTCTTCATAATATTAAGCGATTAGCAACAATAATATAATGATATATCTCTATCAATACATTTGTTTTTTTTTTATAAAAATGATTGAAGATATATATATCTATTAGCAGTGACGGTGACGGTTAGGTTATTAGGCACATTAACTAAAAACTACGTCGATAATTATCGATATGCGTAGGCAACTATTAACCACTGCAACAACGAATTTATAGATTTTTATCGAAAGAATCATGACAATGAATGTTTGAAGCGAATTGCAAAAGTTTTCGATTCTGTTTAAAAATATCTTTAATTAGTTAAATTATAATCCAAATTGAAATGTACTAAATCAATTCAATTCGATCCCTCAAAGAAAATATATTTACATATTTAATTTATTCGTATACCCTTTTTATAGCATTTCTAAGACTACAGGGTATACAAATATTTCGTTAAAAACGTGCCGACATTTTGGTTGTCAACACACGCACACACTTACACACATACACTCGCAGAAAAAGAGATTGAAATGAAAGAGCCGTAGCTGTAGCTGGTCAGGGGAATACTTAGTACATTGGCGATGCTGTGTGGTGTGTGGCATTCGGGTCTCATAGTTAAACTTTAGTTTTATAGCTGCAATTTAGAGAAATTGTTCGCTTGTCGTTCCGGCTGTGACTCCGGTTAAAAGTCTCTCTCACTCTCTCCCTCTCTCCCCTCTCCCCTCTCTCTCTCTCTTTCTCTAACTGTGTGAGTGTCGGCAGACCAACACAATCGTTACATTTCAGTCAATTGTTTAGCCTCAGTTATATATGCGTTTTAAACGAGTCTGTTTAGACCAAAAGATAAATTACACTACTCGTCATGTGTCTGAGCATTGGGACTAGGCACGAGTGTGTGTGTGAGCATTGTTAATGAGATCCAAGCAGCTTAACCGCTCACATCACTTTCCATGTTTTTGTTTTTTTTTTTTTTTGAAGGGGTCGCCTCATTTTTTTGCTGTTTAGTGAAGGACTAAGCCCTTCATGGCTTAAGTATATATGTGTGTGTATATTTAACAGATTTACATGTTGTACCACAACAAAGAAATTTCGTATAAACATTTGCAGGTACTTTATGCTTATTGCATTAACCTGGCTGTAACCTTTTGTGGCAGCCTTCTCGCCTTTATAATGAGCGTAGCGTGTCTATTTATGGGGATTTTAAATTTTAATTAAGGCTTAGTTATCAGCTCTAGGGGCTTGGATTAAAATAAATGCCTTACTTGAAGTTAAAAATTTATGGTTTATCGTTTCGGTCTTGAGTCAATGCCTCAGCTTAAATTTCTATTTGGCTCGACCCAAAATGGTTAGCTTAAAGCTAGAGTTTCAGCTTAAGCTATGTTTTCTTTACAATATCTAATCCTAGCTATCGGTCTCGATTTATTTTTCGATCAGAGCAAACCCCTTAGGGAAATTTCGCATTTTTATTCGGGTTTTGGTTGAGCAACTGATAAGTTCGATTGTTAATTTCACAGTTTAAGTCCGGTTGAAATTATGGATGTTATAGCTCCAAAAATGTAAGCTAAGCACGAAAGACACAACAGAAGTTAGAGTGAGAAAGGATAGAGAAGAAGAAACGGTATAGGCTAGCTGTTTAGTAAAGTCTTTTGACAATAAAACGTTAAAAAGGCTTTGTCATGGGGCGAGGGGTAACTTTAGATACAATAACTACCTTTGCTTCTCTTCCAAATGTAGCTTAAAGATAAGAAGGATATATCTAAAAGCCTGATTGTGTATGAAGTTCCAATTACACAATTCAGATTAATTTTGAGCACATTAAAAAACTTTTATTAAAAAAGTCTTGGGGATTCCTGACCTATGTCAAAACGTCTAAAATAATTGAATTTCAATTCGGCTTAATTAAGACTTTGTTGGTCAGTTCTCAGCAAACTCGCTTTTAGAATTTAAACTAAACAATAGAAAAAATTTATAAATCGAAGGACAAATTTCTAGCCAATTAAACGACTTCAGGAATTGTTTGTTTACACAAAGTTTTTGCTGCTCAATATAAATATTTGTCAAGCACATGAAAATGTTGCCTTTTCGCTAAAGAATTGCCAGATAAACAATGCAAAGCAATAAAATAAAAATACAAAAAATAACATTCAAATGATCCTTTGATTATAGCAAATAAACATATTCACATTTCACTTATGAAGCTAGTTCCAAGAAACGGGGACACAAAACTTTCGAGTTCACTGCGCTCGCCTGGATACATTACTGTATTCAGCGATTCGCTACAGTGAACACACAATCAAACGAAATTCCGCATACATACAAACACATATATTTGCTTATATATATTTACATATGGGCTTTTCCAGGGCTGAGCACAGCAGAAAATCAAAGAAAAATTCAATTTAATTTTGGTTTTAGTGGCCTGATTTTGGAATAGCATTTTTTATAGCACAGAAAACTGCAAACTGTATCTATAAACATAAAAGAAAGTTTGTTAAATGCGTCCCAGTTTTGTTATTTGATTTTGTTTACAAGTTTCGGAAGTTGTGCCAATTCGTAACTAAATAAATAAATATTTGTGTTTTTTTAACAAATTTATATTCAAATTAATTTTTATTATTTGCTTTCATTTTTATTTATATTTATTTTTTATGCATATCTTTTTGTTTGTTCTTTCTTCAATTTAATTCTTAAATTTATTTTTGTTTTGTTTATTTTTATTTTATTTATATTATTTGACTTTTGAGAATTTATCAAAACTATAATTATTTTAATTTAATTTAGTTTTCTATATCGTTGACAATATTAACCCCACAATTGATTAGCTTAACTTAACTAAATATTACCTTTATTTGTATAGTTTTTGTTTTTATTTATGTTTTTTATTAACTATCTATACAATTATTATTTGTTTTATAACTTTTTTTTATTATAACTATTTTTCTTATCATTATAATTATTTTTTACTATAACTATTATTATTATATTTTTTATTTAATTTTTAATAGACCATTAACCTGACTGCATTAGCCATTAGCTGCTTACCGACTGGAAGCTCGCACCTTTCATTGGCTGCCTCGCACTTAAGTGTTATAAACACATTCCAGGTGTAGCACTTTTATGTGCTCTAACTAAGCATTGTTCTTAGTGTTCCAGATGACACTCTTTCCAGTGTTTCACCAAGCAAGTGTTTCTTTGTCTTTGTCCATCTCCATTATGATTTCTACTAAATTCTGTCAGGTAATTATTAGTAGTAATTATAATTATAATTAGTATTATTATAAATATTATTCTTATTTATATTTTTATTTTTATTTTTTTTTTTCTACTTTTTTATTTGTAAATAGGAACATTTCTCTTTGCTAAATAAAGAATATATATTATGGAATAATATATTAGAGATTATAATATAAATTATAAATAATTTGAGAGCTGTAAAACTTAAGCTTCAAATGTTTAGCAAAGTCAGTCCGAGGTTCAAGATTAAGATTATTTTTACGCAGACATAAATTTATATAAAGAGCTTTTTATCAACTAATTTACTTCTATTTAATATAAAAATATAAAAACGTATTATATTCTGAAGAACAAGTTCCTTTTTATTGTGCACAAAGAAAAAACTGAGCAGAAAATCTTTAGTTGTTTCTTTTGAAAAAAGCGAAACGTGAAAGTGTTTTTATATTTCATGACTGTTATCTTTGGTCCATTGAATTCAGTTCATTTGCAGGTGTATCAAGCGCTGCTGCAGTTGCAGTGTGTGTGGCATATTGGTTGGCTCATGAGGTATGCGCCACGTGTGCCACGCTTGATAAAACGTTTGCGGCAAGTGGCACAGAGCAAGGGGCAGGGGCAGGGGGCAAGAGACACGCTGCAAGCAGGCGGCATGCGCATTTAAAATGGCGCATAAAAGCCAGGTCAAAAGAAGCAATTGCTTGTATTGAGGCTGGGGCAGGCAGGTGGGCTGGCAGCCCGGGGGGCTTGGGCTATGCATTGAGTCCAGTTTTCAAAGGCAACTCGGGCCAGTTGTGGCCAAGGCTATTTAAGGATGCCACGCTCTGATGCGTTGCACAGTTAGGACTCGAGCTTGCCAGCGACAAGGTGCGACCGGGCGCTGGCCATTAAACACATTCACATTCAAGCCAGAACCCAAGTTAATGGATACTTAACATTTGCCATTGTTTTTACTCACTCACTCACTCTCTGGCCGTCTCTTTCTCTACTTGCAGCACAGAGCGCGGAGGCGAGGCGGCGTAGGGGCAACAGCAGGAAACGATTGACGACATTGTTGTTGTGCGGCGGACAGCGCGTTTAGTGTATAATATTTGAAATCAAAGCGAAAGGGTATGAGCATGTCGGTGCGGCACTATCTCAAGCACAAGCTTCACATGCGCACCACGGCTGTCAAAATGAAAATGCCGTCAATCAGTCGTGCCAGCAGCATGGAGGAGGCGGTGGAGGAGGAGAGCCAACAGCAGGAAACGGCAGCGGGCCGAGCCAATTGACGACAAACTCAAGAAGCAAGCAGACTAAGCTAATCCAATCGCGTTTTCTACGTATTTACTTTTACGTTTTCATTGGTTCCTTGATGAGCTACATTAGAGCTATTCGTGCAGCAAGCGTGCCGCGATGGCAGGCAATGCAAATTCGCCGCAGCCGAGCCATTTGCATTATAAGACTGATAACATTAAAGAGATTTCTACACATTTTGGCCATGCCAGCACACAATCAAAGGCAGCGCATACAGGAGCTGGGCCAGCATCAACAATCGGGGCATAGGAAACGCCATTTATGGCACACACAGGACCCGGCGCAGATGGCATCCTGCAGCACGTGGCTGCTGCTGCTGTTGCTGTTGTCCTCCCTCTGGCCGGACTGCGAGTGCCTCCATGGCGCCAAGCTAAGCTCCAGCACTGTGAAGACCAGGTACGGCCTGCTGCGCGGCATTGTGGTGCGCTCCTCGCCCCTGGTGGAGGCATTCCTTGGCATTCCGTATGCATCGCCGCCCGTCGGCAGTCTCAGGTGAGTTTCAAACTCAGATAATGCGGGCTAACCACCCGCGGATAAGTGTCTATAGGTGTGTGTGTGTGTGTGTGTGTGTGTGATCTCTGCCTGCAGCTGTTGTCTGCGTGCAACATTTTTATATACCCAGTGCGAATGTGTGTTATGAAGGAGTTGTTTAGTAGTGTGTGAACGTATGTAACAAAGAAGATGTAAGATAGCCGCCTCGCAGTGGACTGTGAATATCTCGAAGACTTCAATGACCAAAGACTTAATATTTGGCAGTTAGAACTGTAACTTAGCTAGTATCAAATTTTAAAATCTTTTCGAAATATTCTAGAAAAATTATTGTATGAAGTTAGAGATACATAATGTCTGTAAGCTCTTGTATAGTATAGACAAATATTTTTTATTTAGAATAACTAGATATTATTATAAAACTTTGATGCTAGCTAAGATTTCAGACTTTATGCCTTAATTCAGCATATAAAAATTTGGAAAAATTCAATAAGAATCAACACAAGATATTCGATAAATCTAAGATATAAGACACTATGCACAGGCTTAAAATATTTTATTTTTTCGATACCCGCCCAAAGATTGAATATGCTAAAATGCAGTAAAAACCCATAGAGCCTATCATGATATCTTATGCAGTTCTAGATGCCAAACTTAGCCTAAGAGTGTCATTCAAGAATGCACATGCCACAGAGTTCAGCTAAGAACAAGAGAGTATATTTCTATCTTATTATCTCTGGAATAAAACTTTAATATTATAAAGTAACCTCATATCCTAGTCGAGCACATCCAACTAAAGTTTTTACACTCGAGTTTTCTTTGTTTTTATTTAATTTTTTTTTCTTTTCTGATTATTTTTGCCCGCAACTTTTTGCCAGCGCAACGCAACTTTATCTCGACTCCTGAGCCAGGCAAAAAGCAATTTTAATAATTATTTTGATAATATGCACGTGAACATGGCCACACAAAGAACGTCCGGAACTTTGCACGTCCTTGCACTGCCAACACAAAGAGCAACGCCAGTGCCAGCGCCAGAGTCAGAGTCAGAGTTCTCTGTCCACAATGCGCCTTACATTGTTTGCTGGATTTAAGTTCCAAGGTTCTGGCCCCGGCCCCGGCCAATAGCCAAAGGGCTCTTAATGAAGCTAACTGCAGCTCGTGTTTATTTTACAATTAGCAGCTGGCTGTATTTTAATACTAATTCTCTAAGAAAATGGGGGCCCAAAGGGTAGAGCGTGGCTTCTCCTAATAAGCTTAGCACGTTAAACGAGCTCATTTATTTCAATGTAAGAAGCAGTTGCCTCGCTTAGCAATCCCTAAACAAGGCGACAAACTAATCCACTATTTCCTCTAATGTTAAGCTGACTTTAACATTCTGCTATTAACAGCTCTGCTGTTATAGGTAATAAAAGTTTCTGCAAGAATAAAAACTACAACTTTGTGCTCTGCCAAACTAGCTCAACTTGTTTTTCTGCATGTCATGTTCATAAGAAAACTTTTAACTGGCATAACATGACTTAAAGCCAACAGCAAATAATGATGGCTTTATGTGCAGACTCTAAACTTAAATTAAATTGCTTTGCTCTCATGGGGAACTTGGTTTCAATGCTAAGAAATATATAAATATTTATCAGAGTCGATCATACTTAAGAATATGTGTGCAAGCGACAAACAGATGATTATAGCCATTATAATAATTGTTATTTTAAGGCTATATAAAGATAGATGCTTAGTAATATCCATCCTAATGTCCATATATAGTATGTACGACTCAAAGCCTACTCTAAGTAGTAGAGTTAAAGAGGCTCTCTACTCCTCTACTCCTCTACTCCTCTACTCCTCTACTCCTCTACTCCTCTACTCCTCTACTCCTCTACTCCTCTACTCCTCTACTCCTCTACTCCTCTACTCCTCTACTCCTCTACTCCTCTACTCCTCTACTCCTCTACTCCTCTACTCCTCTACTCCTCTACTCCTCTACTCCTATATTACCATATCTATATCATCTATACTATCTATTTCAATACTATCTATATCTAGAAAACATCTGAAATGATTAACTAAATTTCGTGTATATTTTTTTCTGATTGAATTAAAAACAAGTTTTGGTTTGTCTTGAAATTTTTGATTAGTATCTTTGGCGACAGACACTGGTTTGTTTAGACGCAATGATTAATTAGCTTTTGCTTGCTATCCGGCAAATCGTCAATTTGTCAAATATCACGTCCCGGCGTCCCCACCCAACGCCCACCTACAGTGGCTGCCAATTGTCATTGGAGCATGAATAATTCGCACGTAGACTTCAGCTTGACTCTGTGTGTGTGTGTGTGTGCGAGGGACGCAGACGAAAGATTCAGTGGCATTTGATTAAGTCCTGTTGCTCATTTGTGGCATCTGTTGATGCTGCATAACAATGAGCCAGGATTCATAAGCGAACTCCATTGACTTCGGCACTTTATGCAGGAAGTAATTAAACAACAATTTGCCAGAGTTTAGCAGCCCCGACAGGGGCCACCCCACACACACACAGACACAGACAGCGTCTAATCAGTTCACACACTTGTTGTGACTAAATATACATATATTAGCTACACTCGAAGTGTAAGTACGCTGCAGACAGGACAGCCCAGATGCAGGACACGCTCCACGAGGTGACAAAGTGTTGGCAGAAAACTTTTGCAATATGCCGCAAACTTGCTACAGATTTTTGTTCGGCAACGCCAACTACTTTCAGCTTGCAGCACGCTTGATGTCTGGGCCGAAACTAAATTTTGTTCAGATCTTTCATCGAAATTCTTTTTCTTTTTCTTTCTTGACTGCTAAAGTAAGGGAGAGAGAAAGTTGTGTCATGTTGAGAATTACCTAGCCAAACATTGTGCTATAAAATCTGCACACAAGTCGGGCAAATCAGGTATATATAAATATATATATATATACATATACATGTTTATTGGAAAAGTCTTGCAAAATTTCGCGACCAGCAAACTTTATCCATCAACATACAAATAGCAAGCGTAGAGCTGCGCAAATCTGCTGAGTGAACAACTAAACAAATTAAAAACTAATTAAATTTTATTTTCAAATACCCTAGGTGACTGAGCAGAGTTTAAAGTAGGGTATTAGAAGATGAACTTCTGATTTCGTTAGAATATATAGATAAATTTAATGAGATATATGATGATGTATTTTGCTCAAAAGTTATTGCGAGTCTTCAGATCTTTCAAAATTTGTATTTATTCATAAATAAATATTTTGTGCCCATCAAAGTAATTCCCAGGATATAGTGATACAAGTTTACGTGTTTTCCCATCCTCAAAGCACTTTAATAAATTATTTATATATATATTTAATATTAAGACCATCTTGTCCTTTTCCTTATTTCCTCTTAAGTTTGATAATAAGAAAAAGTCGAAGGTGACCAAATCTGCGAACTACGGTGACTGAGGCATCATTAGTGTCTTGGTGTTGGGTAATAAATTTTTTTTATTTAATTGCGGTTTGGCTAATAAATAATCAACGCAACGCCAATACAAATTTTTAACCTTCGCAATGCTTTGCGAACAAACCTTCTCTATGATTGAAGGTTTTGTTTCTTTCTTTGAAACTAAGTATATTTTACTTGGAATCATTTTTAATATACTATATCACTTCAACTAAACACTTCTATAATTTTCTACATATTTTAAATTCCAATATATATAAAATATATATATATTTGGAAAATAATAATAATAAAATTTATAAATTATAAATTTAATGATTCAATATAAGAAGACTTTATTCTAAATATTTCTCTCTCCCCCTCTCTCTGCTCGGTTTCTTATAAATTCTTATTGAACATCGAAGAACAATATTTATATGAACAAAATTAAATTTTCGATAGCGGATATTTTATTATTTATTCTTTAAAATTTGTAAAGTTTCAGTATACCTTTGCTATGTTTAGAAATTAAGATTAAAAATTATTTCAAGCAACTCTTGCCCCTTGTAGAAGTAGTAGTAAAACTCAATCTTACCAACATGATATGCCCTACCTGACACAATGCTACAGGGTATCACCCGAACACTTATTCATTTATCGCTTGTTAAGACGTTGTTATAGCCAAAAGCGAAACCCACAAAATGCCCCGTTTAATTTGAAAGCATAATTTGGCTTTCATCCATTTGAGCATCCCAGAAACCGCAAAATGTGGAAACTGATTAAGGCCACGGCGTTGGCAGAAGAGCCAGAATGGGAAATGTAGAGTGGAAAGTGGAAAAACGAAAAATTATGAGCATTATTGTCTCATCAGGCAACAAAATGAAGAGAAAATGCTCGGCTGTTGTGATGCAGCGATGCTGTGGGCTGAGCTCTTATCAGAGCGAAAACAATCAAAAAGGTTTCGCCTCAATTGTTGTGTCATAAAATCAACATTGAAGCCAGCGCGATGGGCATAAACGCTATAAACGTGGCCAAGAGCTACACTCAGCTGGTCTTTGATCGATGGCATTCGATGCGAAACAATAAAATGCACAATTAATCAAAAGCATTTGCCAATTGTGATTGATGGCCATTTGGTACTTAGCTCCACGAACCCTTTATCCGCCCACAGATTCCGCTTGCCAGATTCAGATTCAGATAGCCAAACGGACGCAGTCGCGATAGTTGGCTGCCATTACCATTAGCACGTTGAGCGCGTAGCTGGCATATATTTATACAGTGTACACATATATTGTACATATTGGGGCCATTCCCATTGAATTGCAGATTTATGCCACCCATAACGCCATCGACGTGGAAAACGGCCCGGAACGCGGATCGATTCTCGCCCGTCTGCCCGCAGAATGTGCCCATACCGCCCAATGGACCGGAGGCCTTGTTGGAGCTGCCACGCGCTCGTCTCGCCCAGCTGCGACGGCTGCTGCCCTTGCTCAAGAACCAATCGGAAGACTGCTTATACCTTAATATCTATGTGCCCTACGAAATGCAGCGAACCAGACGTAAGTTATTCAAAAAAAGAACCTCATCAAATCATCAAATCATAAACTCATTAGATATGCTAAATCCTTCCGGTTAATCGGTTTTGCGCCATAGTTTTATGCTGTCAATATTTTTTATACACTTGATTTCAATTATGTTAAATGAAGCAATTGATTAGAATTATATATAAAATAAATAAAATCAAGCATAAATATTAAATAACTTTTTTCAATGTCTGCTTGAGACTGTAATTGACTATGGAAAAAGTGCGAAACTTCAAAGATAAAATGTGGAAAATTACAAAAGTGATTCAATTGACAGCTTAATTGGCAACGAAAGGGATTCGCCCCTGGCCAAACGAGGAAAATGAAATTAAATGAATTTATTTTTTACAAACTTTCGCATCGAACAAACAGTTAAGCGCGCGCAGTTGATTACCAATGGCTACGTAACTTTCAATTCCGTAGTGCATTGCAGTTGATTTAAGGAATTACTGCAAGCGCTGCAGAATTGGCAGCTCCGCTGACCACACACAGCATATGGAAGCATTCCGAAAATGAAGCTAATTGGGCTTAATGAATGAGCGTGCGGTATATACAGCATACAGAGCACCACACATCGCTGCTATCAGTAGCTATATCATTAGCATTATAATTATAAATTATTTATTTATTTATTTTGGCATTGGTATTGGCATTGGCATTGGCATTGGCATTGGCATTGGCATTGGCATTGGCATTGGCATTGGCATTGGCATTGGCATTGGCATTGGCATTGGCATTAAGATTATCATTATCATTATCATTATCATTATCATTATCATTATCATTATCATTATCATTATCATTATCATTATCATTATCATTATCATTATCATTATCATTATCATTATCATTATCATTATCATTATCATTATCATTATCATTATCATTATCATTATCATATCAATTATCATTATCATTATCATTATCATTATCATTATCATTATCATTATCATTATCATTATCATTATCATTATCAATTATCATTATCATTATCATTATCATTATCATTATCATATCATTATCATTATCATATCATTATCATTATCATTACATTATCATTATCATTATCATTATCATTATCATTATCATTATCATTATCATTATCATTATCATTATCATTATCATATCATTATCATTATCATTATCAGTATCATTATCATTATCATTATCATTATCATTAGCATTATCATTATCATTATCATTATCATTATCATTATCATTATCATTATCATTATCATTATCATTATCATTATCATTATCATATCATTATCATACATTATCATTATCATTATCATTATCATTATCATTATCATTATCATTGATCAATATCATTATCATTATCATTATCATTATCATTATCATATCAGTATCATTATCATTATCATTATCATTATCATTATCATTATCATATCATTATCATTATCATTACATTATCATTATCATTATCATTATCATTATCATTATCATTATCATTATCATTATCATTACATTATCATTATCATTATCATTATCATTATCATTATCATTATCATTATCATTATCATTATCATTATCATTATCATTATCATTATCATTATCATTATCATTATCATTAGCATTATCATTATCATTATCATTATCATTATCATTATCATTATCATTATCATTATCATTATCATTATCATTATCATTATAATTATCATTATCATTATCATTATCATTATCATTATCATTATCATTATCATGATCATTATCATTATCATTATCATTATCATTATCATTATCATTATCATTATCATTATCATTATCATTATCATTATCATTATCATTATCATTATCATTATCATTATCATTATCATTATCATTATCATTATCATTATCATTATCATTATCATTATCATTATCATTATCATTATCATTATCATTATCATTATCATTATCATTATCATTATCATTATCATTATCATACATTATCATTATCATTATCATTATCATTATCATTATCATTATCATTATCATTATCATTCATATCATTATCATTATCATTATCATTATCATTATCATTATCATTATCATTATCATTATCATTATCATTATCATTATCAGTATCATTATCATTATCATTATCATTATCATTATCATTATCATTATCTTATCATTAGCATTATCATTATCATTATCATTATCATTATCATTATCATTATCATTATCATTATCATTATCATTATCATTATCATTATCATTATCATTATCATTATCATTATCATTATCATTATCATTATCATTATCATTATCATTATCATTATCATTATCATTATCATTATCATTATCACATCGTATTACTAATACCATTAATATTCATTATATTTTGTTTTATTTTTAGCAGATAATGAGTCTGCTAATGATACTGCGAGTACCAGTTCCAGCTCCACTTCAAACTCCAGATCCAGCTCCAGTTCTGGTACCAATTCATTGCTCTCTACTGTGCTGTTCATACACGGCGAGTCCTACGACTGGAACTCCGGCAATCCCTACGATGGCTCCGAACTGGCCGCCCATGGCAACGTCATCGTCGTAACAATCAATTTTCGGCTCGGCATCTTTGGCTTTCTCAAGACGGGCGGTAAGGAGAGCGCTCAGGGCAACTTCGGTCTGATGGATCTGGTCGCCGGCCTGCACTGGCTCAAGGAGAACCTGCCCGCCTTCGGTGGCAATCCACAGAGCATCACCCTCCTGGGCTACGGCACCGGAGCCGTGCTGGCCAACATATTGGCCGTGTCGCCCGTGGCCAGTGGTGCGTCAGATGCAAATTGAATATGCTAAAGAACATTTTTATATATCGAGTCGTTTGCTATAGATCTCATACAGCGCGCAGTGCTCATCAGCGGCACCGCCCTCTCGCCCTGGGCCATACAGAAGAATCCGCTGTTCGTGAAGCGGCGCGTGGCCGAGCAAACTGGCTGCCATGGCGATATGCTCTACGACGATCTTGCGCCCTGTTTGCGCACCAAAAGCGTCGCCGAACTACTCTCGGTTAAGATCGATCATCCGCGGTGAGTCAGGACATGCAATTGATTGTCCTTTGAGCATCTCCATCTGATGGAGCATTTCTCTCTCCTGCAGTTGCACTTAAATTTAAGCAAACCTTTTCAATTTCTTGCTTGCAGCTTCCTTGTTGGCTTCGCTCCCTTTGTGGATGGCACTGTCATCACGTCCAAAACTGATGCCATGTCCAGCACAGCCCTGCCCCTGGGCTCAGCCATAGTTAGGTGAGTCAAGAGCACACAAGAGTCAACTTGAGCTTATTTTGCTCCTCTGGTCATCAAGCAGCACTTCAGGAATTGAATATGCCAACTTTCCCAAGCGGGATCTCATCTTCTGTTTGACATCTGTGGAGTCGTATTTGGATTTGAGCGCTCAGGATCTGGAGTTCGGTTTCAATGAGACGCGTCGAGATCGCATTTTGCGAACATTTGTGCGCAACAATTTCCATTACCATCTGAATGAGATATTTGCGGTGCTCAAGGTGAGACGTGGCTAAGCGCCAAGAACGCAGGTGTTCAATTACAGTTTCTCCCTCTTTGCAACTGCAGAACGAGTACACGGACTGGGAGAAGGCCATCAGGAATCCGTTGAGCGCTCGGGATGCCACGCTGCAATTTCTGAGCGATGGCCATACGGCGTCGCCCCTCATCAAGCTCGGCTATATGCACAGTTTGCGTGGGGGTCGCACCTACTTTGTGCACTTCAAGCATCGCACTGTTGAGGATGAATATCCACAGGTGGGTAAACGTATAGTGCGCATAAATGACCCCTTAACCTTGACCTGACCCGATGACCTCCACAGCGAACTGGCTCGGTGCGCGGCGAAGATGTGCCCTTCTGGCTGGGCTTGCCGGTCTCTCCGCTCTTCCCACACAACTACACCACGCAGGAGCAACAAATTGGGCGACTGATGCTGCGCTATCTGGCCAACTTTGCCAAAACAGGGTGAGTGCAGGTAACGGAGATATGGAATTATCCATGAATTCTCACCTTTTGCACCTTTTAGCAATCCGAATCAATCCACTTCTGGCCAAGCTCTGCCAACCGCCAGCCAGAGCCGAGCCACAATGCATCCGCAGCGCAAACGCTCAGCGCCGAGGTATCAAGATGCACTGGCCACAGGTGAGGCACTCAACCTGGCCGTCATCTACAATCAGCGGCGCAGCAATGCGATGCATGAGAAGCGCTCCTTCATACGACGACGCATGCGCAGCAACGATGCCAATGCAGCCCAGCAGAGTCTCGGCACTGAGCTGGAAACGGGCAACTATGATGGCGATGAGTTGCCCTTCTGGGATGCCTACGATGTGGTCAATCAGCTGTACATTGAGCTAGGTAAGTCCACACTGATGTAGCGTACCGCATCCCCTGCTAAGTCTCGGCCCTCTCAGGCAATAAGGCCAACATTCAGAGTCATTATCGTGGCCACAAGCTGTCCATGTGGCTCAATCTCATACCCCAGCTACATCGGCACTTTAACATCAACGATCAGTCGATGCGGCATCATCAGTTCCAGGACGATCTCAACAATCGAGATCTATATGAGGGTAAGCAATTGATTAGGCCAGCTAGCTGAAGCCAAGACTAAAGCCGTCACCTTTCCTCTGCCCAGGTGTGGTGCGTCCGCAGCTGCAAACGAAGCCAGCGGAAGATGATAATATCATAATTGTGCAAGCCACGCGCACCACAACTGCCCCGCCGCCAGCGACCTCGAAGCATGAGGTTGCGAACGCAACAAACGCATTAGGCGCCACAGGTGCAACTGCCACAACAGGTAATATAATGGGTGCGAGCTTAGAATTCTCACTCTGAAACAATTCTTTCAGAATGCGGCATCGATGGCGCCATGTCTGTGTCGGAGCTGACCACCACCACGCAAGCACCGAAAGACAATCGCACGCACACACAGGTGGAGACGCATAAGGATTTGGCCACCGCATCGACGGGCATCATTGGCAATCTGGAGCTGCTGCGCCGCCTGAGCGGCAAGCAGTTCCAGAGCTATACGACAGCATTGATAGCCACAGTGGCCGTTGGTTGCTTCCTGCTCATACTCAATGTCCTGATCTTTGCGGGCATCTATCATCAGCGAGAGAAACGGGCACGCGATGCCAAAACGAAGGAGGAGCTGCAGGATAGCGACACGAGCAAGAACTCGAGCATACTGAAGCTGAATGCTGCAGCAGGCGCTGGCGATGGCAGCGATGCCTACACGTTGAGCGGCGGCGTTGTGGACACCAAGGGCGGCATGGGCATGGTCTTTGGCGAGTACAGCTGCTACGACGAGAAGACCAAGCAAATGAAGGAGGACAAGTTGCTCGTGGAGCTGCCACCGCAGCCGCACACAGCACAGACGACACTGCTGATGGATAGCTGGGAGGCATGCTCCACCAGCACGCTGGATCTGCTCAAGACACGACCAGCGGTACACGGAGCGGCACCCAGCAGCTCGCACATCGAGATGGTCAGCTACAGTGCGTTGCCGCTGGCAGCGGTCATAGAGACCAATGCGGTGGCCTCTGCGCCGGGCAGCAAACGCGGCTCCTTCCTGGACACCAGCGGTCAGCTGCAGTTCGACTATGCCGTGCAGTCATCCGATCAAATGTCCTTCAAGGCCATCGAGGAGGCAGTCAAGGCAGCTGCTGGCGCCGGCAGCGGCGATTCAGATATCATGCGAGACGATGATATACCAGAGCCGCCGCCGCCACCACGCTCCTTTCTAGCAGCCCAACAGCAGCAGCAGCAACAACAGCAGCAGCAACAGCAGCAGCAGCAAATGGGAATCCTGCGTCAGGCGGGCACTGCAGGTGGAGCCAGCAACTCGAGCAGCGGCAAGAAACGTGTACATATTCAGGAAATCTCGGTCTAAACATGACACTGGCTCTGTCTCCGTCTCTCTCGCTGTCTCTCAACTTAGCTTATGGAATTTCAATTCTAAAGAAAAGTGCTCAAAGTGCTTGAACTTATTTTACCCCTATAGACCCAGCCCAACTTGAACTATACTTTCCATATATCCTTCGCATACTTTGCCGTAGTTGTATCTGATAAATCTGTTAAGTATATGTGTACGTACTTATTGTCTGTTTGTACATTATGTAAATGTTCCTAAACTAAATCGGAATATGTAGCGCCAGGTAAACTATTTATATATATATATGATATATATTCTATTATCGTATCGAGTTTGTTTTCCATCATAAATATATATGTGTGTGTATAGTTTACGTTTATTTCGACTAACTGATTAAGAACTAATATTTTTATTACCACATATTTGCTTGTTATGTATTTGATAATTAGCCAAATCAAAAATAAAATAATAAAACAAAATTATGTACAAGTAAAACAAGCTTTTAAAATATTACAACAATATACTATATATATATATATATATATATATATATATATATATATATATATATATATATATATAAATATATATATATATATATATATATATATATATATATATATATATATATATATATATAATACACATAATGTATTTGCGAGTAAATGTATTGTAAAATATTGAATCTATTTGTATGAAATACACATGTAATAAAATTATACTTATGTATACTCTGCATTTTTATGATATTGAAAAGAAAACAAAAAACAAATCTAATTTCTTATTCCTTACTCAATTTGGGCTTTAATTAGTTGAGAATCATAGGCACACAGTGTTCACTTTACTAATTTATTGCTAATTGATCCATTACTTAACTTTTTTTGGTACTTTTGGCCGAAAGTTTTTTTATTTTTAGAGCAGGAAACTGTAGTTGAAGAGTCTGCCAGCAATAGGTTTATGGCAACCGAAGCGTCATATCCACTGCATGCTATTTTTGATGTCGTATACTGCCTCTCAGATGGGTATGATCCAGCAAGGAGAGATATAAACTACATAGTCCAGATAATTCTTTTGCATTACAACTTTACATCACAGACAAGCTATTGGCTTTGCAAGGTATTTACATAAGTGGCTGATTCTAGAATGCCAACGATGTCTATAGTTAACCAGGCTATTGGCTTGCAGGGAGACCATTGTGAAATCGACGCCGTTTGCAGGCAGAAGGTAAATGAACGCTGCCGATAATTAACTGGGCATGCAGACGTCTTGACATATTAACCCACTCATGCCAAAGGTGATCTGAGCACAGCATCCTTGTTCTCCATTTAAGTTGCTTTGCCTATTCGTGTTGCAGTAGTCTGGAGCCCAGTAGCAAGTTACCAAGCAGCATGGTCAACAATGAGACGGTCTTGCATATTTCCATTTGGTATTCATTGTATATGGCGGTGAAACGATTGCGGCTATACATTTTGGGATTCAAGGCGTGCGGTTCATTCGGTTGCCATAGAGCTGCTGATTTTGAAACGAGTTTGAAACGAGACTTTGTTTTTCATTCAAATCGTAGCAAGGCCAACTAATATCTTAAATATGTAGTTTGTACCAATAACAGATTAAGTTTAAGGCATTTGTATTCTATATATCTATGGGCTCTGATTTTATTTTTTTCAACTTTTCTACAACTGTATCAGGCGGTAAGGTCTGCTTACGCTTTGACGATTTTTTCTTTTTCGCCTTCTCCTCAGCTTCTATGCCTGTCTCCTCTTTGATTAGCTCTACCAGAGCATCCAGCTCCACTGTTGTTTCTGTATGCTCCACCTCTCCATTTTCGTCGAATTTTTTTATTTTGCTCTGTGAGAGGCAGTTGGGTTCAAATTTATGTCGACATGAATATATTGTATTGGGTCTTACCAGTTGTACGGCTTCATCGGTCAATAGTTCGCCCTCGATGTATGGCATGGCGCTGCCTATGTTAAAGTCCTTTATCCGAAACTTAATCTCCTGATCCATGACGATTTCCTTTCTGTTTTGTTTCTTATTCGTAAATCGTATGGTTGTATTAAACACTCTGTAGATGATAACGCTGATTTGATGCTTCGAAATGTGTCGAACAACGCCATGGAGCACCGCACCAGCGACTGGCCTGAACACGTAAAAATCGGCATTAATAAGCAAGTGCAGCGTGGGATCATCGGTGCGTAACGCTGCCGTTTGACCCAAAACCTTAATGTTCTTGATCCCAAGTACTATTCCATTCACATTGCTATCGTATATGCCAACTTTGGTGCGGATGAGCAGCTCGTGCAACGCATGCTTAAAGTTGGCCATGCCGTATGGACCCATGGCCAGGTGTAGGTCTGTTTGAACGCAGCGCACGCATGATTCCGGGTTGGCCGCATACTGTTCTAGCTCCTTCGTGGTAAATTTTATATATTTCTGAAGTATTTTGGCCATTCTGTTTATCAATACCTTGGAGAACTTGCAACCACATGAGTTTCTGCTGTTGCTCAATGATACATTTGGCACTGTGTCAACCCTAGTGTACCAACTATCGAACGAAATGTATTTTAAGTGTAGTTCATCTCTATACAATCTTCTTATCGATAGCTGTATATATCGAAGCATCGTCTATTTTAGGGGTTGTTATGTTCAAAAACAGGATATGATCGAGAACGTGGTAGAACAATGCAAACGCTGTACGTATGTATTTTACATGAATAAACTGGATTTTCACAGTTGGAACTTTCTTATAGGTTGTAGAACAATGAATACAATAAATATTGGTATATGCAATTTTAATGGATAGCATTCGTTTTATTCGCGAATGGAATGTTTTCTTAAATATTTTCGCTTTCAATATAACATAATAAATAGTTTAATACGAAAACAATACATACTATTTTACAGTTATAACTCGATATATACATAAATATTGTTTTTTGTTTTTTTTTTTTTAAATTAAAAAAAAATTAAAATTAAAGGCAATACCTTAATACGCGCCTTTTTTATTCAAGAAAATTCACTGAGTTGAGAAATATAGATATATATATAGCATTCATCCGGTATTTTCTTTTGCTGATAGAATAGGAACAGGCCTCAAACGATATCGAGGCATGAGATTTGCAAATTGATATTAGCAACAACTTACAACTACGATTACATGCTTAAAATTAACAAGAATGTGAGCTTAGTTCACGTTGAAGTGCGGAAGAGTTTAGTGCCGGCGTTTTGTAGTAAATTGATTTCAATAGTCAAACATTTGTAATGACATTCTTATTTCGATCGGCCAGATTATGAAATTTACCATGCGATCCAAACGGTGTACGCATGCGCCTCGTAAAGGAGCGCAGACAACGTTGACCGTCCAATTGTTCCGGTGTGTTTGCAGCAGCCAGAACAGAAACTACAAAAATAATACAATAAATAATGAAAATTTTAGATTCATAAATATATAATAAATTGCTTTACTCACCTCTCTGTTCGAGCAGCTTAATTTGTTTCTTTGCCTCCCTCAATTTGTTCATCAGTATCTCGTTTTTGCGCTTCTCCACGGTCAGCTCCAGACCAAGCTGCAATTTGCTCTTAGAATCCACAGCACTCAAAATTCTATTGACAAAACGAGACCAAGTTTAGAGTACACTTTAAGATAAATATATATATAGATATACTTACGGATGACTGTATATGGACATGGAACTGGGCCTCTCATTTGGCTCGGGATGCATCATTTGCGCGATCAGCTCATTAAAATCCTTGCTTAATGCTGGTATAGCAGGCACTTCGCCATTGCGCAACTTGTGCCACTCGGGTCCATTCTTTGGCAACGGTCCACCGCCCGCTACCTCGAAGAGCGTTATGCCCAGCGAAAAGATGTCCGCCTTGAACAAATTGCTATAGTCCTCCTGCAGTATTTCCTTGGGCAAATAACGGCAATCGCCCTCCTCGACGTAAGGTTCTTTGACGGACGTCACATGCCCCAAGTCACCAATTTTGTATGTTACGAGATTCTCAGAGCTACGCAGCTCCTCGTACACGCTATCCATGCCATCATCATCTTTGCTGACGTGCTGCTGCGCCTTAAGCGCTGTGGGATTCATGGTGGAGAAGATATTCTCCGGTTTGATGTCCATGTGCACCAAATCATTGGAATGTATATAACGAAGGCCCTCAATCACATGCATTAGCAATATTTTCAGCTCAGATTCGCCCAGGCAATGATCTTGGATTCGCGCATGCAGGCTGCCGCCATCACAAAACTCATTTTGTATCAGCATATGATCGTCCTCCGCCCAGGCTGAATAGTAGCGTACCACATTGTCATGCTTACCCAGCACCGCATGTGCCCAGACCTCGTTCAAGGCCCGCTTTCTGAAAACATGAAAAGCAGGAAATTAATAGATCTGCTAATGTTGAGATTTTAAGTAACTTACTCGAATGAGCTGCCCGCAACGGGCTTTTTGCTTTTCTTAATGGCATAGATACATCCATCCAACCGATTCACACACTGAAAGACGACTCCAAACTCGCCCACACCAATTACGCTGACCTGCATGAACTCGCGCTTGAAGCGACTGATATTTGTGTCATGCAGAGCCAAACGTTTGGGTGCCTGTTGGTGTATCTCTCGCATGCTATCAAGGCCGCTGGCATCCTGCACGCTATCCTCCTCGCCGGCTTCACTGAGCAGAAATTTTTGCATGGCGTTCACTTTGAGATTCTCGCGTCCGAACTGAGTGCGACAGCGTTTCTTGTTGTGTGCTAACAGACCTGTAATAAAGTAATAAAGTCGATATTCTATATGATCTTCATATATTATGAATTAATTTGTCACTTACTGTCCGGTGTGAAGGGATTGACATTGGCTGTGTCCTGTGGCTGCATCGTTCTGTGGTTGTGCAACGGCAGCGAGCGTGGACGCTCTGTTAATTTGAAGACATCCTCACGTTTGACCAAATTTTGCGCGGCTGCAGCGGCTGATAGATGATTGCAGTTAGTTGTTGACTTTTGCAATATGGTCTTTGGCGTTGCTGGTGTATTGAAAAGACGAAGTGCGCGCACTTTTTGGCATGGTGGCGACATGTCTACGTCGCGCGCTACGTCATTTGGCTTCTTTTTGTGTTGCGGACTCTCCTGTCGATCCTTGTCAAAATCATCATCGGCGAAGCGCAATTTGCGTGGATTAAATAAAACCGGCGATGGGGAACGCGAACGCATCTCAATGCTAGAATCGAGTTGCTCAAGCGATGTGTCTTCCGCACTGACGATGCTCGTTTCGTGCTTGGACAAGCGAAAGGCCATTGCCATTGCAATTGCAATTAATATATTACGTTAGCCACACACTTCACCAAATTGCTGAACTGAATTTTTTGTTGATCGCGCTTTTAGTTTGATCAAGTAAAAAAAAATAAACAAAACAAAAACACAAAACAGTATTAAGTGTAGGAATGCGAAGCGCAATTGATCTTATATCGATATGTGCGTCCATCGATAACAATTTCTGCCTGTGTGAATTCTTCGGCTTACGCTACTGAATATCGATATTGCTATATTGGTATCAACAAGCACAGAGTTCCTTTGAACGATTTGTGGCTGCATTGAGATTATCGAACTATTGTGTTATCGATCGTAATGCAAAATTTTAAATTCGGAAAATCGTTCGCCGAAAAAAATATATTAAATTAAATTCTTCTTGCAACTAGCTTCCTTTGCAGATATGCATATGAGTAACTGAATTTGATCCTAATCGGATTAATACGTTACTAGTTATTTGTATTTAAGAAATTTGGGAAATAATTTGAATTTCAAAAGTTAAAGCATTGCTTTCTAATGAAAAAAAAAACACAGCACAAACAATTAGGTATGGAATGTTGAGTTTAAAGCAAAAGGTGATCCCTTTCCAAGTCGTTATCATTACAATGACGGCCAGACTTTAAATTTCCAATTACTATGCCATAGCCTTATTCTCCAGACCAAGCTTCGAGTAACTGTTCGTATTTGGTGGCCAATTCTTGGACAAAGAATCTGTTTATAAACTTAGGAGGCATTAGTAGTTGAATAGTGTCCCAGTATCTGTGAACTGGACGCAAGTATGATGAGAGTAATATTAAGTCTATTTAAGGTGTGTCAGTATTTCCCAAATTCCACTTTCTTTTTGAATTTCCTGCCTTATAATATTAAATAAAACAAAGCCAATTTTTTGGCATTTGATTTATTGATTGAATATTAATGTATTGTAGGTTCTATACGCATCTGTTACATACAAAATGCGCATTTCAAAAAATTCATACATTATTATTATAATACTTAACTATGACGTAATGTATGAGAAATCTGAATTTGTTTGCAATAATTTTGCTTAATTTTAATGAATATTTAAAAACACCTTACAAACTTGAAGTGAAAATATCATTCGGGGTTTTCTGTCTGTCTGGCATTCAATATTAAAAGGATTCGTTCAATGTGATAAGTTTACATCATAAAATTGACATGAGGATAGAATTTCAATTGTCCGAAATGAAAATTATTTTCATATATTCCTACAAAGATTCAAGCTGCCACTTTAATTTAATTACGTTTTTTTCTTCGGATACAAAAACATTCTTAGCCTGATATATGTTTCTATATATGTATGTATGTATGCATGTATGTACGTATGTATGTACGTTTGTTTCTTTGTATGTATTTGTGAAAAGCAAACGATTTTCAATAATAATGTGGTGAATGACTAGATCGACTATACTAAAAACTGATTCGATCTGTAACTTTTCTGTTTAATGAGCGTTGAAACGGGCACAAAATAATTTGTTCTACCTGGCATTCTCAGTTGAGATGGAGAAAATAGAGCGAAGAGAGTATATGCATAATGCCTGTGTATATTAATCTATAGATTATATTCTAAGCTAAGAATGTGGGCAACTAAAATGATTGACTGCCTGACGAACATATAGGTAAATGTAAAGTTTTGGATGTTTACTTTTTTTGTTTTTTTTTCTTTTTTTTTTGTGTTTGGATTGAAGGAATGAAAGGAGCAGCAGGTTGAGCCCTATTGTAAATGGCCAAAATCAGGTTCCTGGCAACGTTAATCCCTGGACATGGAACGCGATACTGAGGAATCGCCACGACGCCTCGACGGGGAACCGCGACGCGGCGGTGATGGCGATCGCGAGCCCCGATCTCTGTCATCATCATCATCATCGTATCGCCGCTTCACTGGCGGCGGCGAGTCCACCACTCCGCTACCATTTCGATCCTGGTCACTATAACGTGATACCGAACCGTTCTCATCCCGGCCATTCTCACGGGAGCGACCAGAGCGTCGGCCCACCGAACCGGCTGAACGGCTGCGCGAACGAGTGGCAGATTTCGAGCGAGTGCGGCGGCGTCTCGATGTGCTGCGCGATCTGCTCAATGAGTTGCTTCTGCAATGAAAACCAAACAGATGAGAATTTTTAGTAAATGTTTTCCATAAATTTATGCTTCGGGAATCTATCTAAAAATAAATCACTCTATTGACAGAATGAATCGTACATATATATATATATTCCAGATCAGAATTTTAAGCTAAGTTTATCTAGTCATTTCCGGTCAGTGTTAAGTCCCATAGACGCCCTACGCTAATCCATATCAACTAAAGATTAACAAGATTTACATATAGATATTATACAGTTTATTATCATCTTTTAACAAGCACAAATTAGAGACATTGTAGATCGCATGTGTACGTCCGCTTAGCCATGTTTCTTGCCACTCTTTTTGTGATGCTTGTGACCATGTTTCTTTTCGCCCTTCTTGCCGTGCTCCTCCTTCTCGTCATAGCTGTCGCCGTATTTGTGCTCCTTTTTGTATTTCTTGTGATCCTCGTCGTGATGGCCCTTCTTGTAGTGTCCCTCCTTCTTTTTGTGGCCCTTCTTCTTGCCGCTGTCGTGCTTCTCGCCCTTCTTCTGCTCGCCGTGATCCTCCTCGTGATGCTTGTGCTCCTTGCCGTATTTCTTGTGATGGCCGCCCTTGTGCTCGTCATCGTAGAACTTCTTCTCCTTGTAGTATTCGTCCTTGTTGAATTTCTTATGGTATTCCATCTCTTTGTGACCCTTCTTGTGCTTTTTCTTTTCATGATGCTTGCCGCCCTTCTTGTGCGCGCCGTGCTCATGCTTCTCGCCATACTCGTCCTTCTCGTCGTAGTGCTTCTTCTTCTTTTCGCCCTTGTCGCCATGGTGATGCTCATGATCCTCCTCTTCATGATGTTTCTTCTCCTCTTCATCCCATTCCTTGTGCTCCTTGTGGCCATGCTCGCCTTTGTGCTCCTCGTCGCCATATTTCTTCTTCTCATGCTTTTCGCCGCCTTCTTCCTCCTCGGAGGAAGCAGCCTCCTTCTTTTTGGCCGCTGCGAATGTCAGCAACAGGCCCAAGACCAACAACACCTTCAACTGGCCCCTCATTCTGTCTAACTGAGCACTAAGTCTCGACATATCTAGCGCTTTTATATCGAATACGCATTGGGCTCGGTCGGCCCCACCGCAAAATCCACAGACCCGAGTGATGCAAGATGTCTTTTGTAGACCCAACGACTGATGTAAATTTTCTGCTTGATCGCGCATTCAAACACCTTTTTTATGACTAAACGTAGTCTGTTGCTCGTAATCGAAGTACTCTGTAGCCTACAGTGGGCCACATTGCTGGCGATTCTTATATAAATAAAACTATAGCTTGAAATACAGAGAATGGATGGGTGGTTAGTTGAGCATGCCCCTCTGCCATTAACATAGGCAGACAGATAGATGGTTAGATAGTTTAATCTAAGCTATATTAGCTCAGACAAGTCATTATGTCAATTATGAAACATATAATAGCACTAAGGAAGCTTAACTACTGTCATTGTATAGAGATAGATATAGACGCGCTTAATATATGATCGACCCTAGAAAACAAATTTAAATTTACCATTTACAATGCTCTACATAAATTGAGATTTGTATATATGAAACTGAAATGTTTATTATAAATAACAATCGCTTTAAAACGATTAGATTAAGTTTCACAACGAATCAGCTTAGAGCAAAGAAAGTCGATTTTCATTTCATTTAGAGTGCATATTACATTTTTTATTTCTAATGTAGGTACACAACAAATAAAAGTGTATTCTTGGCTGTAAAACTATAGGGTAATTGCTAATAACTATATACCTAAGCACTATTTTAAAGCCCCAAAGGTGTTGCTTCTTATTCCTGATGTTTGGATTTCTTCTTCTTTTTTGCAGGCGTTGCTTCATCAGCTTCTGCTGAAGGTTCCGCGGCTGTTTCAGGTGCCTCTTCATCCTTTTGCTTCTTCTTCTTCTTCTTTTTCTTTTCAGTTTTACTTTCTGTTTCATCAGCAGCAGTTGCTGGCTCCTCCTCCGCCTGCTGCTCCTGCTTAACGGGCGTTTCAACTTCTGAATGTTTGCGTTTCTTAACATGCAATGTGTTATCCGCCTCCGGTTGATAGGTAAACACCTCGCTAAAATGAAAAACGGGCAAAGTGAGCAAAAAATGTGAACACATCTTTTATGAGATGCTCAACGATCTTTGAACAAGTTGAAAACTTAATCAGACAGCCAAGGTTTTTCGTCACTGTGGAATTCAGCAAATTGCGAAACCTTTTGTAATCATCATACAAAGTTTTTACTTGACCAAACATATGAGCAATGGTTGGAATATACTAACCTCTTGGCCTGATATTTCTCGAACTTGGCCTTTGCCTTGCCCGTGCCGGACAGTTTTCGTAGATTGCCTTCCTCGAGCAGACGCAATCGCGATTCCAGCTTTACTTTATGTGTGGCACCGAGCTCAAAGGTGGCCTCCTCGCCGAACGCATCGACTCGTGTAGCCAGTGACGCCTTCGCTGCGAGAGATCGCGACATTTTACCCTTGTTTTTTTGACTCGCCTGGCCCACCAACTGTGCGTGATAGATGAGACCGTATTTCGGCGTGTCCTTCTTTGTCTTGAGGGCACGGAAAAGGGCCTTCTCAGCTCCCAATATCTGGACAGTGGATGAGGGATGCTTGGCTAGATTGATGAGGGAGCCAGCATGTGCAATGAGACGAGCGCCAACAGTATCGCCAACGAGTACCGTCAAATTGGGTGCCATTGCCATCATACGCGCCTTCAGGTAATCATAGAGATGCGTGCGATAATCATTAATGGAAATGATCTCGTCACATAGGCACTGAATATTAAGCACATCCTCCTCGCTGATCTCAGTGCCCATTGAAATTTCGGCCGCTTCCTTGACCTGTTGTTCCACATCTTCGGGCAATATGTCAGACAAGTCGGATGTAGCCATATTATCCCTGGTGCCCACTAGTTTGATCGTCTTGACAAAAGCAATGTTGTCTGTTATCAGCTTGCCCAGTTCGGGGAAGTGCCAGCCATACCATTCACGGGCACGCATCATATAATTGTTAAGTTCTTTATCTAAGTCATCTAAAAGACACTGCGCCTGCACAATCATTGTATCGATTTTGTCCGGCGAGAACTTCAGCTTGTAGCGGGAGAGCGAATGTGCCAAACCCAAAGCCATAGCTGTCATTTCTCGTTTGGGCAGGCCACCCAAGAGACTGTCTGCCTGCTGGCGTATGCAGCGCATCAGTTCTTGCACACCCGTATTATAGACACATTGTACCGCTAGCTTATCTTTGATAGCTGTGCCCAGTTTAGCATCCGCCACCAGGAGGGATGCCTGTACATCGTCGACGAGCAGCTTTTTAAGTGTCTTCTTCAACGGCTTTGATACTTTACCCTCTACAGCAGCAGTGGCGGCTGCAAGAGCTTCTGTAGTATCATTGAATTTTTCAAAATGCTTCAATTTCAGCAATTTGTTGGCCCTTTCAGGTGTCTCAAATTCCAAGTATAAATTATCGACCTGCTCGAGTTTTTTTTCGTCCAGCAGTTTAAAAATTGCGTAGCCCGCCGGCGTTTCATATAACACAAACATTATGCACGTTCAATGCATTAATTTAAGTTAAAAATATTTTTTGTCGCGCAGCAAACACGAACTTAACCTTCTTTAGTCTAACGCCGCGTGTAAAAGAAAAATCCAAAATGAGGCGTGCAAACACGTGCGTGTGCGGGAACCAGTGTTGCTCTTTCTTAAAATATATACGATAGTTAGCCCACGCAACTATCGATAAATTTCTGTTATCATAAGAATATCGCGTTTTGTCAAGAGTGACAAGGTAACTTAAGAGTTTTCACTTAAAAAAATGTATTTATGTGCTTCCACTTTACTTTACGCACTGCGAAACCAGTTAAGAATAAGCATACTTCACTTATATAATAATATCGAAAGCATATTGCCGAAATTTGGTGAAATTAACATTTTGCGCGCCTTTTCAATATCAAGATGTGTACACACTTCTTTTTAAATCACCACTGCGAAATTCACCATGCTCAAAACAATTTTAAATTTGATATGCAGTGTTCATGCATTTACATATGTATGTGTGTATACGTATGCACACAATACAAAATTATGAATGAAATTGTCCACTAACCTGCGTCGTTGTCTAGCCTTCCGCTCGCGGCAATGGCGCGCAAAATGACCACGCATGCCGCACTCGTAGCACTTATCGTCGCTGCGACCACCACCGCCTCCTCGGTCACGTCCTCCTCCAAAACCACCACCGCCGCCTCCACCTCCTCCTCCACCGCCACCGCCACCACCACCTGCCCCGGACCGAGCGTATTTCCCTGTGGACAGCTCTACGCGAGCTCTGCGGCCACATAATGTACGTCCATCCAAGCCACGCACTGCATCAGCTGCATCTCGGGCACTTTCAAACTCAACGAATGCGAAACCTGGCGGATTTCGTGCAATCCAGACGCTTCGCAAACTACCATAGGCACCAAATACATACTCCAAATCATTCTTTCGTGCGTTATTGCCCAAATCGCCAACATACACTTTCCGGTCGCTAGGATGCCGCGACATTTTCTAGCTTGGGTTTGTTGGTGGGCGCTGTGAAAATCGCAAGCAGCGCAGCGCAGAAAAAATCGATTCGAGTGCAAAACTTTCGCGTTTGTTGCCCTTGTCAAAAGCACATTCGGTTAATCGAAATCTTGATTGCTTATCATTACTTTATGTAAATATTTGTGGCTTTCTGTTATTTAGGCACTATATTTATTTCGGCACAAAACTTTTTGCCGACTCGCAAAATGGTTGGTTGAGTGAACCAAACAGAGCTGTTCACGAAATGATGCACTAGTTCAAAAGTTCTTTCTGTCAAGAGCAAAAAAAAAAAATGTAAACAATAATTGAACTAGACCACAATAAGTGTGACCATACTTAACTTAAATATTTGTTGTAGTGTGGTGAGTTTCTACACTATCGATACTTTGAAGCCGGTCAATGTTTAGTTTCATCTTGGCGATATTTTTTAAAGTTATTATTTGCTTAAATGTACATTTCCTAACAAACAATCTACTCTCCCATTGACAATAATAGCTGTTATAGATAATTTAAGTCTAAAGCTTCTTGGTAAGTTATAGATTAACCTCTATCATAATAACACAATTCAGGGCTACAATCGCAACTTGAAACCAGCAACAAAAATAGTTTCAATTGCATTTACAACGTTTCTATGCTTGAAATTGATAACAGCCAAAGTTCTGTTTTAAGAAACATTGTATTAAATCTAAAAAGGAATATGCAGTTGCACCCCTGAAGACCATATTGATAAATATATAATACAACCGTGAGCAACCGATTACAAGAGTCTCGCGGTGAATTGTGAATGGCTACCACCATTAAACGTGGCGGTGGCGAGTTTTCTATCATAAGTTAGGTTATATATCGTATGCATCAAATCATACAATTATTTATAAGCTAGTTTTTTAAGGAAAAAACACTTAAATTTAGTGAATTTGCAGTGCGAAATCTTTAAAAAACCACAGACGAACACTTGGCACAAACGGTAAGCATAAACAACAACACAAATATAAATTTTACATAACGAATTTGGTGCTTTATAAAACGAAAAACGAAGACTGCGTTCCTTTCCAAAATTAAATGTGCGACAGCAGCAGCTGCCTGGTGTACAAAACAGATTTCATGTGTGTAATTATGACGCCGCAAACACTATAGGTTCACTTTGTGTTTTTTCATTCGAAAATGTATTTTTATATTTGTGTGTGGTAAATGAAACAAATTTAGTTTTCATTTTCCTATTATAGTGGAAAATTTCATATTTTTATACATACAAAAAATGCTATGTATAACAGCACACCAACATATACATACACACAAGACACATCGGCCATTCGCATACACACACATTAATACAAAACTCACACATGGACACGTGTGAGCTTGTAAGCGTAATTGCGTATGTATGTATAAAGATTGCGGTGCAAAATACAAAAATCATGCGAAATTTTAAAATTGCGTAGTAAGAAAACGCAATAATTTATCCGAACTTTGGAAATGTTTAATATTGTGTAGATTGTGCGCGATATTCGACGGTCAATTTAATGTTTCTAATTGACAATATATATTAAATGGAAGGAAAAAGAAAAAAGTTCATGTGGCATGGTTTCTTCCCAATTCATTTGGACAGATTTATGTCTGCAAAATCAGTTCTTCAGATTTCTTTGTTGAAGCATTTTTGTCGTCACCGACAAGTCTTCCATTTTGTTTTTTTTTTTTATTTTTACTGCCGCCGCGCCGCTACTGTCGCTGCTGCTATTCGTGGTGAATTTCTCGCACTTCATGCAATTCATTGCGTTTGTTTTGAGTTCTTGTAATTAAACGTCATTACGTGTAGATTCTAAAATGTTTTAATGTGTGTACTCTGAAAGTAGTGTTTTGTTGTGCGTTCTAGTGTATGTGTATTTGTTCATATGTACATTTTGAGGGCATTGCTTTTTGCATCTTTCTTTTCATTTTATATTCGCTTTCACATCGCACATGGCGTTGCCACATGGTTTTTAAAATATTTCTCTTTATACCAAACGTACGCATGTAGCTACAGTCTCGCAAACACGGCACAAATAATTTTCGCATACTTTGTTGACTTGTAAAAATAATATCGTGAGTGTATTCTTCATTGCAGTGCATAGATATATATGTTCTTTTTTTCCTGTCGCACAAAAATTAAGTGGCAATATAGAACAAATGGCGCGCAAATGTGGTGAACCGGCACTTTGCTTTATGCTTGCCCTTCTGTCCGTCAATCAGTTTTCACCATTTTTACCTTGAGAAAAAAGTTCGTTGTTCTCACAACTATTCGATAGGCACTTGTGGTGTGTGTGAATGTAGGTGTGAGAGTGTAAAATGAATGACGCTGTGTCTGTGGCTGGGACATCGCAACGACAACTACGTTAGCGCATGTTGTTACACAGCAAAAAGAAAACGTTAAAAAATTAAGAGAAAAACTGAGCAGTGTGTAAAAGACAAAACGGCAATCAACGACCAGCGCGCTTCAAAACCACATGAGAGCAAGCGGAGCGTTGCAAACGCCGAACAACTCGTGAACGTGTACAAAAAGCAGTTAGACGGCAAGAGAAGACAACATACATGTATATATTTATTCATACTTATATATGTGTATGGAAGTATGTATTGGTACCGGCCGGTTGCTTTCCGCTGCTGCTTACCTGCCTTTCATAATTATTTGTGCCTATTTTGGCTGCTTTCTGTACATACATATGCTACTTATGTGTATATGATTCCATTTCTGTGTGCGTGTCTCTCTGTATGTGTATGCCTGTGTGCTTCTATTTTATTGCTGCTGTCATCCGTTCTCTCGCCCAATGTGGCCAGAGTTAGTTAAGATTTAAGTTTAACTGTTGGTATTTCTTTAACTGATCTGATTTGCATTTTTTTCTTTACGCATAAAAACGACTTCCGCAAATACCGACGCATGGACATCATCATTGATAATAATTAGAAAGTTACGTGTAAACGTCGTGGCTTTTGTTTTATTATTTTGAATAATAATAAAAAATAAACTTTGGCAACTAAAACCAATCCCAAAACACATAAGCAACAACAACAACAGCAATTAGTGTAAAATTCAAAGTGTAAACAAGAAGCAACAATAAGCGACAAAACACAAACGGATATCCGACAACAATTTCAAGTCCACAAGTGCAACATAAACAGCAGCAAAATTACGTCAATTATTGAAAATCTACCCGGCGCAATAGCTCACAATCACCAAAACAACATCATGGAAGAAGACGAGAGGGGCAAACTTTTTGTTGGTGGCCTGTCCTGGGAGACAACGCAGGAGAATCTCTCTCGTTACTTTTGTCGCTTCGGCGACATTATCGATTGTGTTGTAATGAAGAATAATGAGAGTGGCAGATCCCGTGGTTTCGGCTTTGTTACCTTCGCCGATCCCGGGAACGTTAACCATGTTCTCCAAAGTGGGCCGCATACGCTAGATGGACGCACCATTGATCCGAAGCCGTGCAATCCTCGTACGCTGCAGAAGCCGAAAAAGGGCGGCGGATACAAGGTATTCCTCGGCGGCTTGCCATCGAATGTTACGGAGACCGATCTGCGCACCTTCTTTGGTCGCTATGGCAAGGTCACCGAGGTGGTCATCATGTACGATCAGGAAAAGAAGAAATCACGTGGATTTGGCTTCTTATCTTTCGAGGAGGAGGCCTCCGTGGAGCATGTTACCAACGAGCGTTACATCAATCTGAATGGCAAGCAGGTGCGTATTTATAATGTTTATGCGTTTAATTAAAAGTGCAAATTTTCTTATAGGCCATTATAAATATGAGAGTAGCAAAAAAGTCGGTTTTTTAAATATTATGTAGTTTAGTTTACCTATGTTTTAGGTGGGGAAGGATTTGCTATGGGGGATTTTCCGTGATATATATATGAACAAAGAAAGAAATGTAGATTACAGTATTTGAAAAGATATATGTTAAATATTTCGACTTGAGAAGGTAACATGTTATTATAATTGTTTCAACTGATTTTAAATACGATTTTAAGTTCAGCTTAGAGAAAGTTAAAATGTATTTAAATAAAGTAATAAAAATAATTATATACAAATTTTGCTGGTGGTGGACTAGGTTAAATTATAATCTGAAAAATAATATATCATATGTAAATAATGTAATAAACATTTTGTTCGCAATGTTTTGACATATAAGAACATTTGAGTTGTATGACAATTGTACGATAACTGCAATACAACACAAAAACAGACGAACAACTGTTTTATTGACTCATTCTGATAAAGAAATGCATATAAGTTCGCATTTAGGTTAAGTGACAAAATGTCAAATTAAACACCGATAATTTGTATGAGGACATAGTTATACATTGTGTAGTAGATAATATAAGACTAAAACTCAAGTTTTGTTATAGATCTTTGGCTTAATATGATTTTGTGTTTGTTTTGCAGGTGGAAATTAAGAAAGCAGAGCCGCGCGATGGTTCCGGTGGACAGAACTCGAACAACAGCGCTGTGGGTGGTGCCTATGGCAAACTAGGCAACGAGTGTAGCCACTGGGGACCACATCATGCGCCAATCAACATGATGCAAGGCCAGAATGGTCAGATGGGTGGCCCACCATTGAATATTCCAATTGGTGCGCCCAACATGATGCCCGGTTATCAAGGCTGGGGCACTTCGCCGCAGCAGCAGGGCTATGGCTATGGCAATAGCGGTCCGGGCTCGTATCAGGGTTGGGGAGCACCACCCGGCCCCCAGGGACCACCACCACAATGGTCGAACTATGCTGGACCCCAGCAAACCCAGGGTTACGGCGGCTATGACATGTACAACTCGACTTCGACCGGAGCACCGTCAGGACCATCGGGAGGCGGCAACTGGAATAGCTGGAACATGCCACCCAACTCGGCTGGGCCAACAGGCGCACCAGGTGCTGGCGCCAGCGCCGGCACGGACATGTACTCGCGTGCCCAGACATGGGGAGCGGGCGGACCATCGACCACTGGGCCCGTGGGTGGCATGCCACGCACTGGACCCGGCAACTCGGCCTCCAAATCTGGATCCGAGTACGATTATGGCGGTTACGGCTCTGGCTCAGGCTACGATTACGATTATAGCAATTATGTTAAGCAGGAGGGCGCCTCCAACTACGGCGCCGGTCCGCGAGCAGCGTACGGAAACGACAGCTCCACACAGCCGCCGTACGCCGCATCGCAGGCTGTCTAAAGAGCCAGCGCCCGCGTGTTGTCTCGTGTCATCCTGCGGCCCCCAAGAGGTGAATGATGAAGAAGACAAAAAGATGGTGGT